GCGATCACATATCCCGAGAATAGATCCACGAAGATCAGCAATTCGGTTTTGCCATTGAAGGATCTAGGCAATGAGGGTATGTGATCCATGGCGATGATCTGGAATGGGTATGTTGCCTGAAGGTTGCCAGATGATTCGCCCTGGATCCGGGGTCGTCCTTTGCCTGTTTCACAATCGACACATTCCCCCACATATCGCTGTACACTCTTGTACAGCCCTCTCCAGTGGAAATGATCACGGATCCGATCGTAGGTGCGACCGACCCCTTGATGACCACCCTGTAGATTCGTGTGATAGTGATGCAAAATGTCCTGTTGAACCGTCTCAGGTACCATCAGTCGCATCAACTTATCTCGATCTGCAGCGGTTTCCTTAGTCGTCGGGTAATAGAAGAGTAGGTCCAACTGATCCACTCATAATTCATAGCAATAGATCCGAACATCTTAGCCTCTTCTTGCATCAGATCGCGGATCTCCCCGACCAAATACTTCTTCAAGCCCATGATCCACGTCTCCTCGTCCTGCGCTTGTCGGACCCGCTCGATCCGTAGCTCTCTCACGACTTCCTCTCGTAGGGAGTCTGGATCGGATCCAATACGCGCTCCCGTTCTAGCCTTAGATCGGGTCGTCACAGCTGATATCTGTTCGCCTCGTCTTCGACTTCCACTATCAGGATCTCATCCAGCCGATTTAAGGTTATGAGATCCTGTCAGACTCTATCTCGATCCCACATCGCCGTTGTAGAGCAGCACTCGCTAGGCTGTCAGCACTCCCATTCCAGTCTCGTTTGACGTGTTACAGCTCATGACCAGGCAAAGTACGTAGTCGATCCAGGGCTCGCTGACGTAACAGTGTCAGACCTGGCGCCTTACAATCAATCTCCCCTCTTACTTGTCGGATCATCAGGTTTGAGTCTCCGCAGATCACCAGACGCTGGGGATCCAGATCTTCCAGCAGATCTAGACATAGTAGCAGACCATGGTATTCTGCCTCATTCACCGTCAAGCCTTCGGCATATCCTGATCTAGCCTTCAGCACCCTCCATTCGGGCAGCTTCCACAAGATTGCGCTGTAGGCTCCTCCACCTATCTTGACACGGGCTGATCCATCGAAACTGACGACGTATAGCTCCTCGTCTCGTTGATAGCGGGGATCGGAGCTTGGATCTTACGTATTGGTTCCTTTTTGGGGGCAATTGAGATCAATGCCTTATCCACTTCTGATCTAGGGGTAATACGGGCTGCCAGTGCTCCTAAGATCTCATCCTCTCCTTTGACACACTTGGTGATCTCAAGTGTCCAAGGCGACAACAGAGCGGCCCATTGTCCTAAACGTCCTTGTAAGGCCGTGGATCTGAAGAGCCACGCCAACGTTGAATGTCGGGTTGACACACGGATCGGACGTCCGACCAACGTATTGTAATTGAGATCCAGGATCCTCAAGAGGGCGAGTACCTCCTTCTCCACGATGCCATAGTTCAGCTCGTTCGACTTCAGAGTACGGCTCGCAAACGTCACGGGGTAGTAGATCTGGTCGTATTCCTGCATCAATGATCCCGAAATCGCCCAATTGCTAGTATACACCACGACTGTGGCTCTCCGATCTGGATCAAAGTGCCGTAAGATCGGAGTAGTAGCGATCTTGGCTTTAAGTACATTGAAGGACCGATGGGCATGGATCCAACGCGGACCACCTCAATGGGATCCGACGCCTCCAGATCCAACGTCTTTCGGTGGTCGACCACATGATCTTCCGGTGATCCTTGATCCACATTCTCCACTTCTAGTACTTGTTGGATCCGCGCTTGGGTAGCTTCCTTCATCATCGCAACAAAGTCGATTTCTCGCAATTCGTACAGAACCGACGCATAGATTGCGTAGTCTTCGATAAATCGGCTATAATAGTTCAGACTTCC